GGAATATTATATTGTGTTCTTCGCAGTGTTGCAACAGAAGGTTTATCATATTATATGGACGTATAAGAGTATATACCTTAATATATATATATATATATATATCATTACTTCGCTCACCGTGTTGCTCGCGTCGCTCGGTCATCCCTTAATTCTCGTGGGAGGCGCACGGGGGATGATATTGGGGACGGATCTCCCTTTCCGATTGACTTTTTTTCATCACTTATTTGCATACTGATTACTGGGCTGCATGCTTGGAAACGAGTGAATGTTTAAAATTCTCTAGATCCGCTATTCCGCAGTCGTCTTGGACAGGCTCACACGGTTATTCCGCACGCCGCAGGGAGTATGTTTTATTGTTTTATTTTAATATTATCCCGTAATGCAGTATAGAGGCATAGAGGCCAAATCCCAAGTAGCCAATGTATAATAAATAAATATATACCTAACACCGTTTTGGAAACTGCAGTTGACTGTTGGGTGTGAAGCTGTAGACCATTGTAAGTCATAAACTCATAACTCATGATATTATTACAACCGTTTAAACATATTTTTGCTAACTAGTCTTGCATACTAGCGTATCTTACGACTTACCTTAAATCATACCATATATACGGTCATATGGGCACTTGACAAAATTGCAAGCCCTGGTTATCACTATACACGAATATAATAATCCATAATAATAAAATATGATTTACTTATAATAGGTAGTTATAAAGATATACAGATATATAATATATTCATTTTTTAATGTTAAAATGTAAACCTTTTATTGTAGCCTTTAACCATTAATCAATGGTTATACCTATACTCGGTAATATAGTATATAATTAACTATGCACAATATACATAGTATAGGTATGTATAATGCATGCGTGTGTACTATATAGGTATACTATGCGTATAATAAATGCTATATAAGCCTATAACCTACGTCTATGTCTACCGACTACCTATATGAGAACCCTAATGTATTGTTTTTTGTTTTAAAGCGCCCCACGGCAGATAGCAACAACGGTATGCGTACGTACAACGCAGAACAACACAAATATAAATGGACAATATTCCATTTCTGCAGGTTAAAAAGTTTGAAATTAAATCACCCCGATCCGCGACGAAGCGACAGAGTTGACCTGCACTCGACCCTTGTCTATTCCCCGTTGGCCACTGGGTCCGCCTCCACAATACCTATGCCTACCACGTAAATTACAAGTACACCCGTTACCCCCATAGTAATATTATAGTAGACACTACATAGACGTTTACACATTATTATTATTATTATTATTATACGAGTACGGGCGTCCTACAACAGGCGTATAACAATGACACCAAAATATTGACCGTCGTCTCTAAACGCGCGTAGAATGTATAGTAATCGAACTTCAACATAGATCGCGTTCAATATTTTAATCGTGCTTTACGAGTGAGAACGCTTGTAATTTGTAAGTTGTAATGAGTAATGACTATTGAAAAACTTAATAATATGTGTTGTGTACACTATATGTATGTACACTACAAGTCTACACACACAATAGGTATAATAAAAATATATCCTACACGGTTACACCTGATATTATCGAGGTCTCTAGGCTCTGATCGGATTCGGTTATATAACAACATAATATTATAACAGTTGTACGCCAGTAGGTACCTATATTGTTCCATCCCAATTCCCAGCTCCCAATGAAATAGTGAATATAATAATAATTGTAGGTAGGTAAAAATTGTGATACCTATTGATTAAAATGTTTTACTCGTGACATGTTCATGGTCTCTACTCCCTGCCAAGTACCATGTCATCCCCCACATCTGACAAATGTCAATAGGCAAAATATTTTGTCTACGACAACCACCGGACAACCACGGCGGCGAAGATTCGTTTGCCTACTTACTAAAAATATATTTTTAAAACTAGTAAGTTTCAGACATGTCTAGTCTTGGGTGCACAGAATATCTTATGTTTCTTGGACCGCATAGTCTGAACCAGGGGCGGTTCCAGAGACTTGGTTGGGGGGGGGGGCAATAGTTGTAATTTTCACAAAACTTATTACAACAAATATAAAACAACAATTTTTACAACTTTTATTATTTATTTTTAGAATAATAACAATACAATTCTTCTCAAGACAATATTCTTAGTATTTCCCCAAGTTATTTAGTATTCTCGTAGGTAGTCCACACAGATAGTAGATGCATGTTACAACTCATACACCGACGCACCTCCAATAATTACAAACTTTTACGCGGGTCTATAATAGTCGATACTATAATATGTTTTTTTGTTAGTAATTTACAATTTTTATTAATAGGGGTTTTGGGCCTTGGGGGGGGAGGCCCCTAGGCCCCTCTGGTTTGAACGATAGCATAAGCATAACGATTATTTTCAACAGTGATTTCCCATCAGTTTTTATCTACCCATCAGTAATGTCAAACTCTCGCCAAGTGAGTACCTACCTACAAGAGTCATGCGGGACAAGCTTTAATCTTTATTTCCATATTCAATAAATCATTCAAACATTAATGGAATTTCAAGTCGATACTGATTTAAAAATAAATTCATTGAACGACAATAAAGAAAATACCCGTAGAATATAAATATTAAAATACAAAAATATATGAACAAAGTGTATGTTTTGATTACAAATCCAAAAAACTTTATCATTTGTATTGCAAACGCGTACCAATAAGTATTAAACATGTACTTATTAATAAATAAATTGTGAATAAACTACCTAACGATTTTATACTTAACTGTAAATATGATTGTAATTCTAATTTGACGTACATTTTAACGACTTTATCGTAAAAATAATTTTAATTGGGTAAAAGAATAATGCCTGGCCACCTGGGTACCTAAAGTAGCAAGTACAGAAAGGTTAAACGTAAAATGTCATATATTATTGTTAGAAGTATCTGGTAAGGCAGCTGTGGAAACATTGGTAGTCGACTTTTGTTTCTTCATGAACTAATTTTAATTTTAGGTCGAAGTAGCTAGTTCCTCCGGTTTCTCGTAATGGACATAAAATAAAAAACTACTTTCGTTTACTATTCGTTATTAATTTCTATAATCTATGGTTTTTGTTTACAAATTTATATTAAAGCATTTTATCTCGACTAAAATGGTTTTTTAAATTAAAATATTCAATATTACTATATTATTGAATAAAATATTAAAATTATTCATTAAGAAATATTATGCAGTTGGTATACAAATTATACCGAGCCTAAATTAAAAGAATGACTGATTATTTCGAGGGTCTTATATATACATTTTTATGTTTTTTTTCTTTTCTATATTACAATATGTGTACCCATACCTAGTCATTAAAATTCCTACGTAACAATAAACCTACATAGTACATATTAAAGTTATTATAAAATAACGTTTTTACAACATCAGAAAGGTATGCAACAATTTTTACCAAATCAGAATCTAATCTTCAAGAAAAAATTAAAATTGAAAATATATTGTATAACCAGTGGCTTAAACTTATTATAGGAATTATTTTCAGTATGGATCAATTTACCACTAGTCAAGCATAGCACTAACGTAGGCCATAGCTATAGGTAACTAGTAATTAAAATTTGTTTTAGGTAGCCTGCGGGTGGTTATAATCACGACATAACCAAACAAATAGAGATTGTGCAATTTTGTTTTATAAATATTTAATATTATATTAGGTATTAATATTAAATTATAATGATCAATCGCCTTCAAAGCAAGTCCTGGCAATTTTACATGTCCTTGTTGATTCCTTAAAACATTTTTAATCAACCTAGTGTTGAAAAACTTCTGTTAACAGTGTAAATAATAAAATTGAATACAACAGTGAATGCCGAATGGAAATCCATTTTTAAAAAATAGAATGCACCATCTACATAAATAAACATTAGTATTTATGGTTATGACTTATCAGCAACTAGCAAGTTTACAATAATAATTCCAATTTTTATAATCCATATTAAACATGGACTATCAAAAAACATTAGGCATGACTTTAAATGTATGCATTAACTAATATAACTAGTATATCCACAAATTAATATGCTATATGCGTTCAATGGTTTAATTAAACCTGAAACAATAATATTGGCTCGTTCCAATGGGCCTCTTCCTGTATATGCCACTGTGTATAACATATTTACATTTGATTAATGATTATGATATACTCAGCTATACTAATTGTTTGTTATTTTGTTAACTGTGATCAGGTATGCTATCTTATATACACTTCTATAATTTTAATTAATCAATCATATCATATTATCGATAATTAGAATTACTATTATCACTGTACAATCTATAAGCATAGATATTGGCAAATATACTACCCATTACTAATAATTAAGAAAGTTTGTTCGTTATTGGTTATATAATATATTAATATCTATATTTTTTTTAAAGTAAAATAATCTTATTTAATACTACATAATATATATTAATATACTTGTTTTGGTTCTGGATTAAAATATTTTTAAAATTCTTAGTTTGTAATTAAAAATAATTATAGCCTGTTAGACATCCAATCTAATAGGTTGCTCATTAGCAATTATAAAATACATTGTTAATTTAAAAATAGTATAAATCGATTAAATATTAAATTTCAAAATAAAAAAAAAAACCATGTTATGCACAAGTATAATTATCATGTATTTATGTTATTGGATTTATTATTATTTTTTAATAATTAGTTTAATATTGAACATTGGAAATGTAATATGAGTTAAATCATAAAGCCTATTATATGTTTTTGTTGACATAATATTATGTGATCAGTTATTCTACTGCTTAAGTCTTAATCCTCCCAATATAGTTACCAAAATTATTTAACTATTTATTTGTATAAAAATATAAAATTCATATTATGAGTTTCACTACTCCACTTGGTTTTAAATACAGTAATCTTCATTTTAAATTATTTCACTTCTCTTAAGTTATAGCAATACAACACTAATAAATAGTAATTTGGGGTAAAATATTACAAAAGAACACAATATTTGAATTTTAAAGAATATAAATCTATAATTTTTGCACCGAAATAATTAGTATTTATCTTGTTAAAGCACTATATGTAGTAAATGATTCATAAAAATAAATGTATAAAATAAAATAATGAGAAGATTACAAAACAATTTTGTTAGCTAATGAACAAGACAACCCAGTATTATCTGGCTCAACATTTAATTGTTCCACTTTACCATTTTTGATTAACATTGAGTACCTCTTGGAACGAGTGCCACCCAATGGTGGCAAATCAATAGCCAAATCAAAAGCCTTTGTGAGTTCTGCATTGGGATCAGCTAATAAACGCACCTAAAATAAATAAATACAATCAGTAATTATATAAATATTTATTTATAATATGATACAATGATGTTCTTTCTGATTATTTTTTAAGATACATTTTCTACTTCTAACATTTTTGTAAATTAATATATGCAAATAAAGATAATATGTCGCCATTTATTTCCAGCGTATTTTTTGTTTAGGATCACTTAGAGCAACCTTAAGTAAATTATATTTTTCAAATAAATAACTAGTAACAATCAAACTATATACTATATATATATGTGAATTGTAAGATGAACGGTGAATTGAATAATCAATATATTTTGACCTTACCCCACTATCTATAAATTATATGCAACTAGTATAAATAATAAATGATCTACACTATAAATTAAGAAAACAAATCATAATGGAACCTATAGGTTTGTAATTGAAAGATAGTTTTAACATATTTATATGAATTATTTACAAAATTTTAATGATATGCATTTATTTAACTAATTATACTTATGTTTAAAGGTCAAACATTTATCAGATTTGGCAATTAATACAGCCATACCTCAACAACAATATATAAAATAGTTTAGTTTAAAATATATATTTCTATATTGTGTAATATAGGAAATTTTAAATTAAATTAAAATGATTTGCTCAAAATATTCATGATATTATCTTTATGTGTAAGTATTTATTGTTATATAATATACAACTGGGGAAAAAATTATTTATATTCAATCTAAAATATAAATTGAGGTTTGTTTTTGTACTTGGTAATTTAATCATATCTTGATAAATAAAAATAAATGTACAAGCTTAAAATATTTAAATGCAATATTATGAAAAAAACTGAGCTTTGAAACTATTTTTTATCTGACTTGTCAATACCATCTAAATTTGCTATAATTAAAAATAATAATACCTATATAGGTATTTTTTTTAAATTTACAATATAAAATGTATAATATATACCTGGCACTGCCTACTTAATTAAACTATTTGTTTGGTTTTGCAATAATTCAAATAAATACAAGTTATTTTAAAAAACATAATCATAAAATAGTTTTTAGAGATCAGCATTGGCTGTTTTTTTTAGCCCAAAACATAAATTAAAAAATTATACCCACCCAGGCCCAGTCAACATTTATTTCATTTTAAGTCCCGTCCAGCCAGAATAACGATAAACCGTTTACCCAATAAATAGTAATTTATTTTTCTTATGATAAAATTCATTTGACAAGTTAATAAGAATGTATGCATAGGTGTAATACTATGTGAAATTAGTAGTCTCGATGGTTGTCAATAATAACCGTTTCCTAAGAAAAAATGAATATAATTTCACTAAAACTAAATATAAACCGAAACCAAATACACCGTTCAAAAGTAGACATTTCATTATTACACTTGTAGTATTGTAGAATTTACAATAGAGGTTTTATTTTATATCAACCCGGGTCCAAATTATGGGACTGGGTGCTTGTGCTGATCACTAATAAGTACCTATAGATGATATATTGAATAAAATAATATTAAAAATTACTTTTCCCTCAGCTTTTTGATCTTGAGCCCAAGCTGCCATGACAAACGCATCATTCACAGAAACACAGACAATCTCATCTACACCTTTACATTTCAGGTCGTCAGCAGTGTTTACATAGCCGGGTAAATGTGTCTAAATGCATTTAAATGTATAATGATTAAATAATAGTCAATACATTATATTATAATTATAGTAAAAAAGTGAAAGAATTTACCTTTGAGCAGCCTGGAGTGAATGCTCCAGGAACAGCGAAAAGTACAACAGTTTTTCCACAGCACAATTCTGAAATGTTAACTTTTGTGGCAGGTGTGTTTTCATACAAGTCTATGCTGGGTACGGCATCTCCTACCTGTCATAATTGAATAATATTGAGATGAGTAATGAAAAAAACATTTTTAAATAATTGAAATCGGTCTCACTTTGACGGGCATTTTTGAAGTCAGGCTGATGCTTAACAGACGTTTGGTGATGGTACTGAGTACGGTGGACGGAGCTGCACACACGGTCTTCTGTAACGCCCCAATAGAACAAAACATGGTTGAAAAAAGCTCGGTATAATTATATGTAAGAGATAAAATATGATCAGTAAATAGGTTTAACGCAGTTATTTACGATCACGTCTGACTCGTGTAAATTGTAAATTATGTGTGTGTGTGTTTATGTACTTTACCGTTCAACGAAAATTATTTGTGACCGATTCGTGACCGGTAGGACTGACGTGAGGTGCGCGTCTATGGTAGGAACAGTTGCCAACTACTTGGAACCGGAACGACAGATGAGCGACGAGTACGAAGTACGAAATGTAGCGAACTTGTGAACCACGGTTTACGAATGCCAAGCCAAGGGCCAAGGCCAACATAAAGTGATATCGGTGCGACGGTGCCTCCGTGGCGCCACCCAGTGGACACTGTCCACACCATGATGGCATGATCTAAGATATAAATTAATATAAAAAATTAAAAAAATATGATTTCTATTTTCCATCTATACAGTATTTTTAACTGTTGTTCTGGGCTGTAGTTTTTTAAACCCATTTATGATTGGTCGGCTATCGACATTCTGATTTCTGGTGCCTGTGGTCGAATGCCAAGGACGTAAACGTAATACGTAAATATTAACAACCACAGAACAATAATTCTATATTTCTATAGCCCCTAGATCGAATGGTAATGTAACAGTTCAAACCATGAACTAAAATCACTGAGCTGTTCAGTGGCGAAGATAATAATATCTATTAGTTCTCACTTCGTGGTGCAAACACAGAATCGAATATACCTGTGGCCCAATGGCCGCTGTGGGTAATGGGTGCCATTTAAATATTATAATTTTTGTGTAATGACGGACACAATGTCTTTATAGTTCACATATTAACACGGGGGGGCACAATAAATTAAGGCTATCATTAAGTGCCTTGGAGCCAACGACCCATCGACCGGTAATAAGTATTAAGTAATAACAAGACAAAATATCTTATGATTCATGAGTAATAACAACATTTGAACACATAACATCTAATATTTATAATATGCATTAAAGAATTTTTTTTTTATATCGAGTGGACAGCGCGGCATCATGGCTGTGCGGTGGCTGGAACCAATGAAAATATCGCCATCGTTACCACGCAAACATGGTATACAGAAAAGTACCGGCATTCATAATCCATGGTTGCCGGTTGTCCGGTTATCAAATTTGTATTACCGCCTTATCATTACTTGGGCACATCGCACATGGCAGTGTAGCACATAAACAGTGAGAAATAAAATAGTAATGCACGTAATATGAATTTAGAATATTTCCGATTTTTATTCGTTGTATAGTTTAAGAGTTTTTGTTTCATCGTGAAGGGCCGTTATAATTGATCCAATTCATCGTAGTTTTTATTAAATAGTTAAAATTTACTTAATTCTTAGTGTTGAAATAATATCTGGCAACTTTAAGTCACCAATAATTGAAATTGGACTGTGCTTCCAATTAAACGTTTTGTTGTATAAATTCATATTTCCTCATCAATAGAATATAATTACTAATTAGTAGTCTGGTTTCTGTGAAAAAATAAAAATTTAATGGCGGTATGTATTACAATTTATTGGTATTGCACAATGTTTTTTTAACAGAAATAAGCTTTTGGGCTGTGTTCATATATTTTGATTTGTTGACTAATCGATTTTGCTAAATGTTTCCTCATTAACAAAAACATATTTATAATTCATAGATTTTCCTTGTTGAGGACAATTATTGAAAAGCGTGCTATGGTTTTGTATATAGTACCTACATGGCTACATATTATTTTGCTGTGTTAAATTATATATTATTATTAGGGCACGAATGTTGTAGTAGAAAAATAAAGTGAAATTGATTGCTGTATTACATAAAAAAATACCAAAAATCGCCTTTAAAAAATTAAAATTTTATTATTTCTTATAAATTTTATTTACAAAATGTTTACTCTCAAAAATATTTAAAAATTATGTATAAATATTTGTTACTTAAAAATGATATATATATTGAATAGATTGAACTATAGGTTTTTTTTAATATTCAAACTCAAATTTTCTTCTAGCTTATAAATTCTAATACCTCAAAAAACTTTGTTCCATGTCCGTAGATGTAAGCAGAGTATACTTAAAATAATCCAAATCGCTTACTGTTAGTTCTTCGGGTTAACCATCCAACATATTTCTTTTTCTATTTATTATATCATCCATTTTACTTATCGTTTCAAGCTGTATTTTTTTAAATTACTTAAAATAATAACAATATGGATTGTAAATACGACAAATTCTGATAACCTTAGTGAGAAACAACCGTTACAATTTTCAAAAATAATCACACCATCACTTAGATTATACGTATAGTAATGTCAATACTCAATAAATAATTTGAACAATATACTTCAGACTTATAGCCATTTGATAATTTTATAGACATTTAATGAAACCGTTTAAAAATAAGCTAAAATAGTTATATAAATGAGAAAAGTAAATTAAATTAAAATAAAAAACTTCCGAAAATGTACTCTTTGAAATCTCAGATTTTCATTCGCACTCACACATAACGTATTCAAAGCTTACTTGGCAATAAATTTGAGCAGTAAAAAAAAAGTTGCGAATGCAACAAAACCCATGCCCTGATTATTAAGTACAGATAAATATTTTTGAAATTTCCTAAATACTTATATTTACTATTATTTTTGGGAGATTGGGCAAGAAATTTTGAATTTTAGTGTATTGTTTCTTCACACACTAAAAACAACAAAAATAATATATATTGCATGTCTATTTACAGAAAAATAAGTCAAAAAAAAATGTAAACCAAACAGATACAGAAGCTATAAAGAAAAAAAAACTGACTAGTAGAAAAAAAAAAGCTCTTATAAAAATTATAGAAAAAAAACAAAAGAGCCAAAAGGTAATATTTGTTATTTTTTATTATTATTACCTAAACTCTATTTCAAACAAGTTTGGAAAAAAATCAGGCCGAAAATGCGTCTCGGTTTGCGCATGTAGTTGATAGATTTTGTCGGTGCACTGTCAACCACTGGCCAATCAGCGGTCTTACCATTCCATGGTTGTGCAGTTTTCCAAACTTATATGGAATAGAGCATGGCTAAATATATTTAGCCATGGAATAGAGTATATTAGATTATTTAATTTATTATATTTTGTTACAAGTTTTATTGTTTTTTGTATTCATTTTTCAGAGATCTGAAATGTTAAATGAATTAAAGAGTTTTGAACTTTCAGCACCTTCTTTGTCTTTGATGACATCTATAAGTCAAACACAAACAAGTGGATTGAGAAATGCATTAAAAGAAAAAGTAACAAAATTACACAATTGTATTAATTTTATATTATATAATAGTCATTTTAAAACAAACTAATAAAAAAATATAAAATTCTAGAAAAAATGTCGAACACCTAAGCCTAAAGAAGTAGATAGGAGCTCAGATGAAATGACAGTTGATGAAGATGTTGGTTCAGAAGTTGACGAGGATGAAATAGCATAATAATTTAATTATACAACTCAAATCATTTTGTAGTCAGTAACCCTTTTACAATGGTGGCCATATTAACTTGACTTCTTTATGTGCTGCTTGTGGTAACCATATTAAATATTCTTCCAATAAATCTAAAAATAAAAATAAATTGTTGTTAACATCTAAAACAATTACTATTTAATAAATTAAAATTTACATGTTGGCTTTTTTAACCAATGTTCTTTAATTTTTTTTGCCGAATCATCGTGGTTTTTATTTAATGTTTGTGTAAGCAAATAAAATGATTCTTTTAAGCTAAAAAATAACAAAATATAATATAGTGCAATTGTTTAAATATCATGGTACAATATGTACTAACAATTTCAGCCAAGGTTTTACGATGAGATCAGGCTTAGATAACAAATGTTGTTTAAACTCTTGCAACTTTGGAAATACTTTTCCACTCAGTATAAAAAAAGCTAACCAACAATATTTTTGTTCTATGTCAGGAAACTCAATTTCAGATTGTGGTAATGACCATCCGGCTTGACCTGAATAAAGTTGAATTTCAATTTTAATATTAGATTGCATTTAAGACAAAAATTAGAAAACTAAATTACCATAGGTTGCATTAACTGTACAGAACATTTTTCCAGTTTCTTCATTATAACTAGGCATAGGATCGTCTAAGACTTTTAATGTTTTACATAATCTATTAGCATACACAGGTAACCATTCTGGTTCAATTGCAGTGAGACCTTAAAAAATATATATTGTTATAAATGAGTAAATGTTTAATCTCATTTTGTATAAGCATTTAAGTTTAAAAAAAAAATCTTGGTTAATCTAAAAATGTATTATTTGTATACCTTTAATATACATTTTGTCTTGTACTTCAAATATCTCTTGATAAACTAACCATTCTGGTTTACTTCTTTTTAAAACACTACTGTTGTGTATGTATACTATTGATGTTAAATTTGATGCATAATAAGCAGCCTTATTTGGCCTTATGCCATTTCTATTTAATTCGTTGGTAGTTAATCGTCTTGCAACTCTATCCAACATACCAGCTAATACAATTTGTCGTATTTGTTTCACCTACAGACAATTAATGTTGTATTATTGCAAATCTAGGGTAATTCATAGACTGCCATACTTGTATAGGTGTGGGTGGTGTCATATCTAAATCAGTATTTAATTTCAATGATGGCACATTTATGTTGAGTTGATTAATTAATTGATTATTCAATTTCCAAGCTTCCAAAATTGATTTTTGATGTAACCCTGTTTTGGTACAGTATTCTTGCAGACCTCCTAAACCTGATTTTTTCATTGCATGGCTTGCACCACCCATAGATCGTAATATTACCATTAGATCACCTAGATATTGTAAAAAAATTAATTAAAAAGTATACAAGGTTGATATATTATGTTTTTATAATTTATACATACATAAATGTAGCAAAATAATGTTGCTTATAAATTTTAAAATTCAACCGTTTACCTCTATGGCCAGGTGTACAACAACACAGTGCGAAATGGACAGCCAAGTTATTGCAACAGGCATGCAGTGAACCGTGCCATTTTTTTTCCACTGTATTGGTGTGCACCCTACTTATTATTTATAATAATAAATGACAATATTATATGATATTGATTTTAAATTTAATAATAATTTAAATAAGCGAAACTTTAGTACCAATTAAATGTTACTAAAATAATTGTATTATAGCTAAATACGTTATGTTATTAGTTTTTACCTAATAGTAAAAATTCGCCCTTGTTTGCCCACGAAAGTTTGGTTTTTTTCCAAGCATCAACATTGTCACCAGGTAAATATTCTTGAACAGACATTGCAGAAATTATGAACAACATATATTGTAATAAACTGCGGTCTTTACTCAAACACAGCATCTTGGCATAGTGAGGGGATAATGGAAAAGCTGCCATACTCTTTCCCAGAGGCGTAATATTGTTGATTTCTAAACATATTTTTAAACAATTACTTATTAAATGGTTAGATGAATATTTAATTTATTATGTTTACCTGCACAGTTTCTGTCAACTTCTAAAGCACCAAGTGTAACTAATCTTTTTTCTGCTTCTAAAATAGTCTGTTTATCTGGTGGTGTAGGAAATGGAAAACTAGTAATTTTATCTATTTTCATTGATTTCATTTGTAAAATGACATTATCAATAGGTGTGGTTTGAATTTCTGGTAAATTCCATTCAGGAAACTCGTCATTAAATAGAGCCGATGAAAATAAACTATCAGATAAAAAAAACAAATGATATACTTTACAAAATTTGTAATATAACAAAAAAATATTTTCTTGCTGTAATAATATCTTTATAAGAACAATAATAATAATATAATTTCTACTTAAAAACTATTTACTAACCGATAACAGTGTCCAGGAGACGTTCTTCCAGCTCTTCCAGCTCTTTGATTTGCTGAAGCTTTACTTTCCCAAACAACTGAGAATCTCGAAACACTAGTTAATGGATCATATTCTCGAATTTTAGTTTTTCCACAATCAACAACATATTTTACATTTGGTATAGTCAAAGAGAGTTCTGCTACATTTGTACTTACAACACACATGCGACAACCCGAAGGAGGTGGTTCAAATATCTAAAAATTATTAGGCATATAATCTTAGAACAGGTTTTTTCATATATAATAGTTAATAAGTAAATTCACCTTTGATTGTTTATGGGCAGGTAACATTGAATATAGAGGAAGCACCCAAAGTGGCGTAGAACCAAATTTCATAATTTTACTTGGCACTTCATCATCATCTTCGTCATCGTTACTTGAGTCAGAAAGAATTAACTCATCTTCTGAATGCATTTCAATATCATAATCATCTAAATTAATATCGGGCAAAGGTTTTCCAATTTCTTTTTTTATACTTGGTTTACATTTGGTATTTGAACCTATTTTAGCATCTGTTTCTCGATATGGAAATGCTTTACGAAGCTTTGATACCAATTGTTTTACTTCTAATTTGCCTGAAAATAAAATATTTATACATGTTTTTAATCTCATTTATTTGTATATTAAATTGGTGCAGATAAAAAAGCAAATGCAGTTTAACTCCCCATCTTTTAATTTCAAAAAGTGATTTTTGAAGCTAAATGTTTTGGTGTTCATGACGATTCAATCCATTTAAGTTTTTAAATTGTATCAAAAATGACATATTTCAAATAAAAATCGTATAGGTAATGTGAAAATAATTTTTACATATTGTGCTCTTTTATAGTCATAAAATGTCTGATTTAAGGATTGGACCAGCACCCATTTTTTATGATCATAGAGCTTAAACAAAAATATTCTTCAATATGCTATAAAACACCTTATGAATATATATGGTCAATTTATTTTCAAAGATCAAAACAATCTACACAAAAAAAAACTAATAAAATATAGTGGAACTCAACTGCATTTATGACCAAATAACATATTATATTAAGATATACCAGTTAAGAACACTAAAATAGCACCAGCCGGTAAATTGGAATGAATTTTATAAATTTTATTATAAGCTTCAGTTAAATAGTCATGTGGGGTCCTCTTGTTGAAATGAATTGTCACAGGAAACTGTCTTGAACTCACCTACATTAACATTTCAAAATAGTTCAAATTAAAATGTATATTAAACAACCTATTTATATTTTGAATATTTACTTCAATAATAGGAGGTGGTTGAAGAAAAAGTTTTTGGTTTTTTGAAAAATCTTCAACTTTAAGAGTAGCAGACATAATGATTAATTTCAATGGACTAGATCTTTTTTGACGCAGGCGAACAATACGAGATAAGATACCAATCAATATATCAGAAAACACTCGTCTCTCGTGAGCCTCATCTAATATAATTGCTGAATATTTATTGAGCAAAAAATCCTGAAATAAACATATGTCTTATTAATTTTGTGACTGCTTAAGAATAATAAACATTCAAATTTACATTTTGGATCTCTTTTAACAATACACCATCAGTCATAAACTTTATTTTTGTATTAGTTCCTGCATTTCCTTCAAAACGTATTAAATAAGATACAATATCTGTTGTTTCATTTAACTCTTCTGCTACTCGTTGAGAAACGGATATTGCAGCAATACGTCTAGGTTCTGTGACACCAATCATTTTATTCCCACTAAAAACACACAAATAATGCATGATTTCTGTTCGTTATTCAATTTAATAGTGATTGTCAAAATTATAGTTTGTGTAGTGTGATATACTGATATATCTAATGTTATTTATTTATAATTTATTTACAAAATTTAATTATTGAATTTATATTTAACATAAAAGTGTGTTTACGTTGAATAACCAGCTTCGTATAAAAATTGAGGTACTTGGGTAGTTTTTCCACTTCCTGTTTCACCGACCACAATAATGACATCATTTTCACTGATTGCTTCCATAATGACTTGTTCTTCACCAATAATCGGTAACTTTGAACGAGACTCTATAATGTCTTGTGTCCGATTGATTGGAATTGGCTGCTTCTTAGCAGCAGAATCTACTTTGCAACTCATAATGACTGATTATTGAAAAATTTACAATCGATTTTATAATTTAATAGTATATAATAAATCAAAATGTAAGCCATAGCAAAATAATTGGTGACATGTTGAAAAATAAAAATAATTTGAATTTCTCACGTGGTGGTGATGTTTACTTTTTGTTGTTCGGCGGTATGTGATAAGAAAATTTGATAAATAACCATGATAAAAAGAAAATTAGTTGATACCACAGAATAGTTGAAATTTATACTCTTTGTAACCGCGTAAATCATGGATTAAACTTTTCTAGGTTTTCAGATACTGAATAATATTAGCACTTAAAAATGTATTTAAAAAAAATATATAATACTAATTAGTAAATTGGCAGATGTATTTGACCAATACTCAAATACTTTAGATAATTATTTCAAGTATTTTTAAATACCGTCATAAAAATAATAACAATTGATTTTCTTTATTATTTAGGTAGGTATTCAAGGTCTTATTGCACTTTAACATCTTAAAAATTGCTATTCCTTCATAATGTTCTTCTGTCATACTCAATACAACTCATAAGCTAATACACACATAACTACTTGCCTACAGGTTAATTTTCGTAGAGGTAATATCAAATAAGTCATTCTAAAAAGTAAAAACTTAAAGTACTGCAATGACAATAGGTAGGTAACAAATTTTAATAAATTAAATTTTTTCAAAAGTGATTAGAGCGACGATTCAATATTATATTTTTAAATACGTTAATGTTTTTTAAATTAGTGTTCTTCTTCAAAATAATCAACCTATCTAGTTGTTTAGCACGTAATAAACTATTGACACTATATATATGTCTATATTATGTGCCATTGTGTCCATCAACAAATGTAATGCGGTATAAAACTGAATTTTTCCGAAAATTAATTGAACGTGCTTAGCCCAAGTTTGAAGACATATTTTTAAGGTCACTAAAAATGTACAAACTTCATTATAAACTATTAAAATGTACTCTTTTATGTATAGTTCTGTATGCCATTTATTACCTGCATAACTTTCAACTTTTTATTAATTTCTATGAAGCTTTTGGCTAGATAGGAGTCAATCAGTGCCACAACTTCATAATAAGGGCCCCGTGTCCGATATATTTTTGGGGCCCCTTTCTAAATTAATTTTACTGTAGTCTGTAAGTATTACAATCTATAAGTGCCGACGTTTTTAGATTTTGTGTATACCTACGTAAATATATATACTTTTTTTTGGTTCATAAATTTTATTCAATCTGTTTCAAAGGGAACAATAAGAATAAGTGATGATATAGGATAAGCAAAAATTAATAAAAATAAAAAGGCAGACTAAACAGATTTCAGAGGCCACCCAGTACTAAATACCTATAAATCGTCACTCCGACAACTGTCGTCGTTTTCCGCCATCAGCCTGTTATTCTTTCGACAATTCGACAAACAGCGACCCATAGACTCGATAAAAAAGATCTTATGGAAAAATTGATAGTTTTTAAAAAGTTAGAAACGTTGACACTTGAATACTTGATAGGTACCCACCTTTTTCTAAACCTACCATCCTATTTTAACATACTTATTACTTAATCTAATATTAATATACTTACAACTACACTAAAGTTTCAACTTAAAAAAAATGTATTGTGAATAATTAAGTTTTGAGGTCTAAGACAATTTCAGTGTTTGCTCCAGGTTGGGCCCGGGGCCCCCCCAAATGTAAGTATAAGCCTCGAGGTCCGTGTGCGACGCACACTGCACACCCGGTTTTTGGGGCACTGGATTCAATCTACTATCTATCATTCTACTATCTAGATTCTAGATTCTAGATTCTAGACTCTGAACCAGCCACTATTTTTTAGTGAACCTTGACTCAAAATGTGTAGTTCGAAATTGAAAATGTGTTCTACGGATTTGAGAAGTGTGTACTAATAAACAAGACTACTTTCTACCTACTAGGTTCCTACACTATACATAGGTACCAACTAAAAAAAAAAATAATTTTTAAAAAGAAAACTTTCTGTGATGACAAATATAAATTGTTTTAAATTACATTTCACCAAATAGATCTATACTTCTCTCATTTTAATTGTGAATGGTGAACACGCCAGATATAGATACTAGATTTACTTATATTTAGTAGTGTTGGTCAGCAATAAATTTTTAATAATCGATATCGTATTTATTTTTCTGATATGGTATAGCGATATCGGAATTTTTTAATTGCAATTTATAACAACTATAATAAATAATAATATAGACACATAGTTCATAATGCTAAAATGTATTGACTAATCGAAAAAGTGAACACCGCCCTCCACCCTCTTAGAAAAATTGTCTGGATTCAACTCTGCTCTGAATGCTCTAAACTCTATAGAACTAGATTGACTTGATTCCGTGTAACTTCTATATTCTGGTTACGATTCGTGCATCTATATAGTCACTTGTATCGCTGTAAATCTGTAAATGTAATATTTTGTATCGTGTCAAATAAATAATATAATGATAAATTAATAACCACAAACTAGGTATAATACTGAATATTTAATCATACTAAATATTTGGTCATTTATAGAATAGAGTTAGTTGTCATAACTAGACATTGGCACAGCCAGTAATTTCCTGAGGTCACAAATCTATTATATATGTAGGTACCTGTATTATAATGTTGTTGTTAAATACCTTACACCTATACATTACACCTGATATGATGAATACTCAAATACAAGTAGGAACCTATACTTTGACTCGAGTCTGAAATCTGCATACACGATTTCCCCTTCTTGCTATGTTTGAGCCAACGGTATTTGTATGACGTTTACAAGCTTAAAAAACGACTAGATACCACTGAGAATTGTTCTTCGGTATTGCTATGTATATATAATATATATATATATATATATATATATATATATATATATAGGGTGGGCCTCGGGAATAAGGCTAAAAATATATAAACATAACACTACTATTGGCCCTATTCCCGTGGCCCACCCTATACATATATTTTTATATTTATTTATATACACATATAGGTATAGGTGTATCGTATATGTGTAATAGCTCAATTAAAATGGATTTAAACGTATGTACATTTTGAATTTTAATAGACTACATCCTGTTTACGTACGTATTAATGTATATTAATATTATGTTTATAACTTATAAAATTTTAATATTATTAAATTGATGTTTATCTGGGGAACAACTATTATACGTTTCATTTATAAAGTAGGTACCTATAGGTAAATTAATTACTTTATACTAACAAACAACAGTCCAAGTAAACTATAATGTGTGCCCAGTGCTGCAGTAGTTTTTCGGTCAGTGAATGGAGTAGACGGCACGTACTCTATGTATACAGTATAGTTTAGTAGTTACGTGTACATACTATATAGTATTATATTTCTATATTGTTTTAAGGAGAAGATAATAACTAATTAAATTTGTTGTTCCGCGTAATAGTGAAGAGATCGTGTGAAACATCTACCTATATTCTATATGTATTAGCACCTGGTAAACATTTTTTTGTTTTTCATACAAGCACGATAATCACAACGATCTCGGGAATTTCTTGCGATCGTAATAATCTTTTCTGACCGAACCACTCAATATAGTATATATAGGTGCATTGATAATATATAACTGATGTACACGTCTTATTTGGTCACTGCAGGTTAGTGACAGTGAGCTGCACATATTATAATGACAGATGATCTGGACCAATACATTGACAGTTACTCCAAACAACGATGGAAAGTTTTCGCCTTGTTGTTGATGGTCAGCACACCTGGGATATTCAATGCTATCCAAATAGCGTCGTACGTGTTTCTAGTCGACAAACCTTCATACTGGTGTGATATACCGGATTTGAAATCAGCAGGATGGAGCGACCGGATGATAATAAATGTTTCCACGCCGTAAGACTAAATCAGAATAATTTTATAAGTTATAGATGACCGATAATGGGATTTTAGGTATCTATATACAGCTATAACTAGGTTCAGGTAGTAGGTATATAGACAACTCCGTTCATAAGTCTATTTTTTGGAAATATCGTTGTGATATTTTAAAAACTAAATACAAAGTGAGTACAAGCTTTCGAGAATTTGACTGGTTTAAACGAAAAATGGACGAAAAATACTATCATAAAGATAAACTAGTAACTGCGACTACCTACCCATAATAGCCGTATGACATTTTATATACCATATAGGTATGTAGTTGATTTTTTTTTAAAGACCTGCAACTCTCAACACGTGGTGGCCGGTGGGTAGTGGCACATTACAGCCATTCTTACATCTTCTTACTCCCAATACTCCCATTACATTTTAAACATATATCATATGATCCTTCAAACGTACAGTAGTCTCGCTAATCTGGACTAATTGGGACCGGACTCTTACCGGATTATCGAAAATCTGGATTAAACGGAATGATGTTTTTTTCTAACTTACTAATAAATATAAACAAAAAACACCTTATGTATTTATACAAATTCAAAATTTGTTGATTTACAATTTTACATTACACATTGTAATTGTTATAATTATGATATATGTATTACATATGTACATATTATATCAATACAACTTACAAATTTAAAGAAAATTTTAAAAAATAAGATTGAACTCACTTGAAAAAATAATACAGACACAATACATATCGATAATATTGACATATTGCAATCGAAACGATAATATCTTAACCATGGGTATTTCCGAATATATACATTATACACGAGTAGTGAGTACTAAAGCACGAAATGTAGATTTCCCGGATTAGCAAGAGGCGTGACTCTACTATACTTTCATTAATAATTGTAATCCCCTTAAACATCTCTACCTGTTAAAGACCAGTAAAAAAAAAAAAAATGTCAATTAAGTATAATATGATATTATTTATTTATATTAGGTCTACTCTTTCTTTTGTCCAACACTACACTACTATATTAGAATGAGCATAAATTCTCTTTTATTTCTATTGCTAAGCTCTTAGCCTGTTTCTGAATTGGCCTATTGTGCGTTGTCAACTGCACCTGGAAAAAATACTGAAGCACAAGCCACTATAGGCACCTTTAATTATTCGGTATCGACATTCTCAATAATGAAATATATTATGTATGTGTATTTTGTTTGCATTTATAACTCAAATAAAAAGTATATAGGTAGGTATTCATTTTATTTTTTATTATACCTAATTCTAAATGACTAAAGTTTATAAGGCGTAATTATTGAAATAAACCCTTTATCTAGACATTCTAAACTACTTCGGTTGCTGTTTATGAATAGTTAATGCCTACCTATACAGTATACTACGTAATTTCAACAGATTTGACAGAAAAATATGAAATAGCACAGCAATCACGTCACTACGATTACCTATACAAAAACAATAGGCATGCAACCTTTATTATTGACTCAGAAATTATGTATTGATGCTGCTTTTTAGACATCAAAAATTAACTAAATTATTATGTAATAATGATGATATTAGTATTTTTATATTAAAATTTGTTATTGCAGTAACTATAGTGATACTATGGTTAAATCTTACATTTAAATCGTATAAAATCCCTAAATTGGAAATTAATATTTTCAGATATATACCTATTAAATTACCTGCCTCATTGATACCAAATATACGAATATTATATATTTTTAGATATCAAAATTATTCATCAGAAAAAATTGAAGAATGTTCCTATTACAATCAAAATTATTCAATACTTGCCAAAAATGGTTACAATTGGTCTATGAATAATTTAGATACTGCCGATTCTAAACCTTGTCAGTATTATAGTTATAGCACCAGAGAATCTGTTGTCACTGAAGTATGTTAATATTATTTTTTAAAACAAATAATAATGCCCGAACATTTACTATTAAACTATGTTTTGTTATAACTGGTTTTAAAATGTTTTAGTGGAATTTAGTTTGTGATGATGTATCGATGAAGTCCAATGTCCACGCCGCTATGGCTTTTGGAAAGTTTGTTGGTGGACTTTCATTTGGTTCTATTTCGGATGTATATGGCAGAAAGTTTGCTTTCAATTTGGCAGCTTTTATTTACATGTTTTCAGGACCATCTGCTGCCCTGATTGATTCTTATGTATTATTTTTAATTGCGAGATTCTTGATAGGTGTAGCTGGATCTGGAATTTATGAATCATCATACACAATATGTAATAATAAAAAAAACCTTAGTAAAAATACAAGGATAATATTTAAAAAAATAATACTTTATGTTAATTCTAGTGACTGAGCTGACAAGTGGTAAAACTCGTACTTTACTTTGTCTTTTGATGAATATATCGTATCCAATTGGTTATATTTTGTTATCAATTATTGCATATTATGTGAGGCCATGGAGAATGTTGCTTTTAGTTTTGTCATTGCCCATATTTGGATTGTTGATACAATGCTGGTAACAATAATTAACAGTTTAATTATTTAATTTTTTAATTCATATGATAATATTTTACTATTTTTATGTAGATTTTAACATATTAATATTAATTTAATTGCTTGTATAATAAATGATAATTAAAGTAAATATATGTATGCATTGCCTAGGTTTCTACCAGAATCTCCAAAATGGTTGCTGTCTCAAGGAAGAAAAAGCCAGGCTTGGGTGGTAATGGCTAAACTTGTTCCGACTGCAATTCATGCTAACATTAAAACTGATAGCCAAGATAATGTAGAAATTAGTAAGGTTAGTCAATTACTATTTTTTAAAATTAACCACCAAAGTAATTTCTATTTTTATTACTTACTTTTTATTAGTTAAAAGTTAAAAATTATAAGTATTAAAAGTTTTGATGAGCCAGGCAGAGGACCAACGTTCTACTGTACCGCGACCCCTCGATCATCTAAGAATTAAAATAATTAAATGCTTATAAAGTTCTATAACTTACTATAAATAATTAACTCATCCTTCGAAACTTGATTTTTATATACTAAAATTGTCAGAAAAATATTTGATTCGGAAAATGAAATGGAAATTGCACGATGACGTTCAAAAAAGGAAAACACTTAAAGATTTATAATTATTAAAAAAAGATATTTTTAAGAATGTCAATACATTTCCAAAAAATTACTAATGAGTGTTTACCTAGTACAATATTCAAGAATATTACCTTGTATTATACTATAGAAACAATTGTTAATTGTTTAATGTTCTATGCCTCTATGGTATTATAGTGACAATAATGGTCATTGTTTATAATTTATACCATGAGTACCTACATTTTATTAATATTTTTTAATCGTTCATACTTTGCGTAAGATGTTTAGTGGTTACTTATCACTTTCATAAATAAATATAATTTGTTCAAACGAAGTAGACAACAGATTGCCGTGGAAAATGTATGGAGATCTTGTCAACTTATATGGCATTGTTTTCTACACCGGACTTGTCAGCAAAAACAGTTATTTCTTTATTTTTTGGATTATCTTGTGGCTTATCTTATTACGTTATTGGTAAGTCATATTGGACAATTATATCATATATCTATATAGTGTAAGCCTATAAACGTTTTTAATCTATTTATTATATAATCTTGAATATTCTAAAATAAATACTGTTCATAAATTCTAGAAATATTTTAATCATTTTTTCAAGAAACCCAATTAATTCTGTTTATGTTGTTGATTAGCATTGAACGGGGATAATATAACTGCTGATCGTTACATATATGTTGCGTTGAACGGAGTTGTTGAAGGTGTATCATATGCGTTAACTATTCCTTTATTTCTTTATATTGGACGCAAAACAGCAGTTTCATCTTTTTTTTTCGCATCAGGAATATTGCAACTGACATTATTGGCAATACCACTTGGTATTATACATAATTATTTGAACCGTTTTGTTATTAATATTTAGCATTTATTTTTTTTGTTCTCAGAAAAAGCAAACATTTTATTATGTGTGACTTTAATGGGAAAATTTTTCGTGAGTGCCTTATTTTCAGCCATCGTACTCTACGTATCAGAATTATATCCAACTACAATCAGAAATACTGGTATCGGAGTATCATTGACCTGTTCTCAAATAGGATCTATTATTGCACCATATATAGTCGAACTATTGGTAAATAAATCATGACAATTGACAACCGTGCATGATTACGATATTTATTATTTAAAATGAAAGTTTTCAATTTTCCATTGATATTTTTATGATTAAAGGGAGCTAAGGCATGGTATATTCCGAGTACTGTGTGTGGGACACTTAGTATCTTTGTTTCAAGTTTGGTTTTACTGTTGCCCGAGACAAAGAGGACAGTATTGCCAAATACTCTAGAAGATATGAAAAACACTAATTCCGTCAAACTTAGCAATTGTTTTAAATTTTAATTTTTATGTGGCTTTCTTTTATTTTTTTTTCTTCCTCGTACAGCGATTTTATTTTTATATGCACTTAAATGTATAGACAGTTCATAATGAGTAATAAATCTTTGAATTCGAGAAGGTAAATTTATCACATGCATTGTTTAAATGTATTTTATTTGTTTGAGGAAGAAGGATGAAGAACGCAGTTTTGATACCAATTTTAGTAATTATTTACCTATTGAATAAAAAAATGCTACCTATACTTAAGTCTTAAATTACTGTTTGAAAAATACAGGATAGTTTTGATAATAAATAAATGCCTAGTTTATTCTTATTACCTATACTACCTACTTATATAGTTTATTCAGTCATAGTTGTACAATGTACATATATAAGCAGTGGCGCGGTGCCTATTATATTTATATAATTTTAAAATTTGGTATAGATTAAGTAACATAGCTTGGGATTTGAGTAAAATCATATGTAAATACATAATATAAGTACCTACTTGAAAATATATTAATATGTGCTATGCTCATTGTTTGTAGGTACGCATCGTAAACTATATAATGTTGTGAGTCAAATTTTAAATCAATATTTTCTGTACATTCTTTTAACTTTTTATTGAGAAACATGATTATTATCAAAGACGCAATTGCATAATATATTAATATTTATGGTATTGATAAAATATTTTTAATATTTAGTCAATGGTTATTGTTTATGCTCAAAGCTCGGAACTTTATGCAATAAACAAACAATGAAATAGTGTATGCATACGAAACATTTTCCAGTAGGTAAGTACCAAATAAAGTATTTAACTATTTTGTTCTATATTATACCAGAGTCCAGAAGTTATATTTTATTAAAACATAATAAAAAGCATTACAAGTGTACAATGACTACAATGCCTATAAAGACGAGGAATGATAAATATATTTTATATTTCAATATTTTTAAAAATTATATTAAATATACAAAAGTGATCATTTTATCGGACAGGACCCGTTTTGCTCAAATTTTGTTTTTATATGACTCCCGTTTTGCCCAGGCTAGTTTAGACCAATTTAAAAATAAGTTGGTAATAGTTCAGTAAAATATTATATTTTATCAAACGCCAAGAAGAAATGACGTAGGTGTGAGGGGTGGGGGGCCGGGTGTGCACTGGCACCTTTCGAAATTTTGTAATTGGGGCCCTAACATTTAAGTTCCAGAGCATATGGCCCTTATTTTATATGATGTTACTAGAATAAAATGTAATTTTTTTTAAAAATATTTGTTGAAAATAAATCTTGCATTTCCTGATAAAAAAATAATAAAACTTAAAAATTTTTAAAACTACGTGAAATAACTTATTATGATTATAACGGCTTGATGTTATTGAGTATTGACTAAAAAAGTGCAAGTACAAATAATAAATACATTTTGCAATTATCTTATAGAAATAGATATTAGATCCAAGAAAATATTATGTAACTTAGTGCTAATAATAAATAATAATTATATACCTCTGGGCTCTGATTATATAGGTGCATGCGTCTTGTTAAGAGATGGCCCAAATTAAGAAAAGGGCCCAAAAATATTATAGGCACCCTCCAAAATTCAGGTCTGCGCACGCCTATGAGAAATGGTACTAATTATCACTAAAAAAATGTTGTTATTTTTTCTTGAAAGACTAATTTAATATTTTTAAATACAGATTACACAATTTATATGGATGGAACTTTTCAATATTTTGCACGATTTTTTACTCAAATGTTTATCATTCGTGGTTTTAAAAATTGACATAATATATCGTTAATTCTTAGTCTACTTCCCGATAAAAAGTATGAAACATACTTGCATACGATAAACACAATAATTATTGATAAATGTAAAAAAATTAATTTGGATTTTTTACCCAAATATATAACTATTGACTTTGGAGTTTGGACTGGTCATACAGCTGTTGATGAAATATGGCCTCTATCAAAGAGGCCATATGATATCGTTTTCATCTAACATTATTAGAAATATTCAGCTGCAACAGAGTATAAAAAAAATGCAGACATTGACAAATTAATTAAGTACACTTTTGGTTTATTATATTTGGACTTCGAAAAAATGTCAGATTGTTTTCTTTGATGCTGGAATACCCAACTGACAATAGAGTCACTAAATATCGTGCTTATTTATAGTAAACAATTATATTTCTGAAGATAGTACATTTACATGTACATGTAATTCAGCGAGTATTACTCTGCATACGACAAATGCGTGCAAGTAATTTCATTCGTTCTTCAATGACCATTTTTATTAAAATTCTCCGTCTGTATTAAGTTGGTTAAATGTTGTGAGAAATTTTGTCTAAATAGATACATATATAAAAATCAATAGCGTCGAAACACCAAGGACATCAAAATATGCAAGTATAATCAAAAGGCAAGTATACAACCAGAAACAAATAACGTCAAATTAAATTACTCTTTATGAATTCATTAAAAGTATGTGTAATCATTTTAAAAATAAAGTATAGGTATTAATGAATATATTTTAAAGGACAAAAGTCTTTAATAATTTTATTGTATTTATAGATTTTTTAATTTCTAATGAGTTTTTATAAATATTGTGATGGGCTAAATTTTAAATTTGTTAAATGTACCATTTATGAGAAAAACATTTTTTGGGGAACAAAGAGTATCGTTTCCTTCTAGTGTTCTCTGGACAACGATGAGTGATACTCAGATATTAAAATATTATAATCATTGCCAACTGAACTAGTTTGGGAGAAATGAGAATCATTTGTAAAAACAAAATTTGGGCAAAACGGGTACTTGTAGGACAAAACGAGCTACAAACTACTCATTGCTCTGAAAAGTTCCATATTTTTTTGAAAATATTTTTTTCACATACTTTAATGTCATCAAAAGACAAAATTTTTTAAAAGAAAAATTATTTTTAATTTTTTATATATTTTTTAAATTTTGTTCTTTTTTCCTTGGTTTTTTTGTTTGTTCTTTTTTTTTTGTGTAATTTTGTCCTTGGTCTTTTTTCCTGGATTATGATTTTGTTATACCTATCACGCCTATGTGTACTTACTGTAATAGTGTAATACAGTACTGACAGTACTATGTACTGTCCATGTGACCATGTGTAAGTAGCTAGATATAGGTATGTGTAATGTGTTATACCTACATATTTTATTGTTTGTATATTTTATTTATGTAATAATATCTGACCATGCATATTTTAATTTGTAGTTTTTATATTTCGTAACCTATTTATTTATATATTTTAAATTTTACTTATAACTTACATCATACATTTTTTCTCATACAACAAATATTTATAGTACCTATTATGATTATTTTTATCAGTGATAAATAATATATAAAAGTGTATAATTATTATTTATTATCAAGTAACTTGTAACTTTAAATGTAACTACTTACCTGTAACTTGCAATCAGTTAAAACTCTAAAAACTATAAAGATGCTCACACAGATTTTGTATAACTAGTCCAATATATTAATTATACTATATACGATATGTAAGTAATCTAAATTAGGTTGTATTTTCAGATTTTTTTTTGTCACAATAACTTTTAAATTTTAGCCGGCTGCAGATATTGTTCATTATGTACATTTACAATCACTATATGCCTGTATATACACATCACTAATCACTGTACAAAACAGTTTACAGTTTGACCTTCGTTTATATAACGCTATATGCCTATATATAAGTATATATCAGCTATCATCTATTATATATGTCAATTATACAGTATATAATATATATACGTCGTATTTTAGTATACAGTGTCTCTGTGTCTGTATGACTGTATAAGTAATTCAATCGAATAACGACTAAATATTGTCAGTTGCTAACAGTTTAGCGAGTGTCATAGTCATACAAGTACTCAATAGCCTTACCAATTGATAATTTAACGAAATACAAAATCATAGATATAATTAATAAGATTTAAAAAAAATTCAATGTTTATATTTTATACGTACTTATACGTATATGCATAAAGAAAATTGATTCAAACTTCTCTGTAATAAACTGTACTTTTAAATTGTACCTGTACTTTGTAGAGTGAATGCAATTATTTTTCGGTCACTGCTTAAGGTTAAGAGTACCTATCATCAGTACTCAGTACAATATATTAAGTAGAAGATATTTCAGTTTGTCCAGTAAACAAATAAGAGGTAAGATAGTATAATATTTAAATTTAATAAGTCATTTTTAATTTAAGAACTTCCCGTTATTATTATAATAAATAAGTAATTGTTTTTAGGTATATTACCAATATTATTATAATTTATTGCATTATCAACACTACAATATAAGGAATAATTATAAATAGGTACTCAGGATATTAATATATTATATTAATTTATTGTTTTAACCTAAAACTATATAATATAATCAATTAGGTTATTGTTTGTAAGAATAATTGATAATTTTATACATAAGATTTATTATAAACAAATTGAATACAACTGTTGTCAATTAAAAACAATATTTTTCAGTCAAATATATTTACAACTTTACAAGGAACCTAGATATTTTTAATTTAAGAAACTTCATTAAAAATAAAACGAGAGGGGGGCTCACTCTACGAAAATAAAATATAGAAATATATATAAATATAATGTTCATTTGGAATCAACATACCTAAGTCATAAAAAAATGTATTGATATCTCATACCTGGTAATAATTATTGATTTAAATATCTGTCAAAAGGAAAAAAAATACTAAAAACAAATAGGTATATCTACTTTAATTTCATATTTCACTGATTTATATTTTCAATGAAAAGTATAAATAATTATTAATTATCCATAGAAGGTAAATAAAATTATGTAATGTAGAATTTATTTTTATGATTCAAATAATCAAATGTATACCTATTGTATTTAGCTTAATTTAATTGTCTAAAGAAAGATATGTTAGTTATTTAGTTTCGATATCTCTATTATATAGGTATCCTAGATAATATGTACCTACTTATATCATATCTATTCTGTCATCCACATTGTAAATTGGAATAGATGTGTGTTATTTAAAAGTAAAATTAAATAAAAGAACACCAGAACAGAACAAAATTGTTCTGAATAACTTCCAAATTAAAATTCCTCTCAGCCAGCGCAATAGGTATGCCAGTAAACTGTGTAGTAGACACCTATTACTTATAATCTATATAGGTATATTAATGTATTATTATGGTCGATAGGTATAGGAATATAATGATTTTATACCGCATCAATCATCATCATAATATTTTGATATAATATTATAACCTATTATTTTCTTTATGGGTTTTTTTTTAACATAATATATAATATTATACATTAATATTTTTAGCCCAGTTTGCGATTTTATTCATACATTTTTTAATCATTAAACGTGATTATATTTGTATGAAGTTTTTTCACGATCGCATGATAAATAATAACATTATTTTAATTGTAATATCAATGAATATAAATTATAATATTATCATTGCAGTTTAAAATGTGCAATTTACCTAAACCTAATACATTTATCATAATACGCGTATATTTACATATAGTTCTGGTAGTAGAGTACACCGAATTTTTTTTCGGAGAGGGCATGGCCAATAATAATCATTTTCTCGAAATTAAATAATTATTTTACCTTCTACTGTTAAGTGTCCTATACTCCATACTAAAGGAGGATAAAGAATGGGAAATGTTCAAAAAATAAATTTTCACAAAGGAAGACATTTCGGAGGGATGGATGGCAGTTGTGAACCCACACTGTGTGCCGTGGGCGCAAATATATGTACAATGTTCTATCGGAACTTGAATAATATTTATTTAACTATTTAAGTCTATTTCCTACTATTCTGAGTAAAAAACTAAAGCAGAAAACTGCTTAGTTTTTATCAGTCCAGCTACCTATGCTAATAAGTACCTAATCACTACATGTCTATAATATAATCTTATATTTATTGCTATTACAGACTACAGTATTACCTAATATAGTAATATCTATACCTAAAGGCTATAACTTATAAGCCATAGCCCATAGGCATTACCCCTTGGTAACATACATTTTTAAGGAAACACAAGTTTTAGTTTGTTAGCAAATAGCATTGCAACAGCATTACTACAGCTTTACTATTAGCCATTACCTACCATCTGTGTGTCTGTATAGTGTGTACAACTCAGTACAAGTAGTATACTGTATAAGTACTAAGTAGGCACCTATACAACATACTGCTATAAATGATAATTATTAAGAAGCGAAAACCTTTTAGACCGTCGACTAACATGGGCCCCATACGGCCACACATAAACTTAAAAAGGTTACAATTAAATAATCGCTTACGCACATTAAGCTCACGACTATACAGGAATACACACACTAGCCTAAACATCAAATTGATAATATATACACTATACAGCTCTTCTAAAACCCATCTGGACCTACGGACTCCAGCTCTGGGGCAGTACTAAAAAATCAAACATACAAACAATTCAAGCTTTTCAAAATATCTCCCTAAGAAAAATAACAAATGCCTCTTCCTTTGTTTCCAATCTTATACTCCATAATGATCTAAAAATAGCAACAGTACTTTATGAAGCAAAATGTTATTACAAAAGATTTCACACGAAACTACTTCTTCATTCTAATCCTCTTATAAAAAAAACTATCTACCTTGACCATTCCAGGTAATCCTCCTAGACGGCTTAAGCGAAGATGGTGTCGCGATCTTCTATCTCAAATGTAAAATTAGCTTAACTTAAAACTTAAGAACTCAACTCAAAATAGGTAGTGTCACTAGGATGGCTTCTTTCCTCAAAAAATTCATATGTTAATTACTCTGCACATTGCACACATTTGCTTATTGTTCTAGTTGAGAATAGATTGTAAACTTCTTATAAAAAAAAAAAGAAGCGAAAATGAATAAAAAGTTAAAAATTAGGGTACCTAATGGATACTTGTATTATACGAATACCTTTTGTCCTTTTATATCACTAAATTTTAGTATTTTGCAATATAACTTTAGCGTTTTGGATTTAGACAGTTAATTGTTGGTATTAATATCAGGTCCTTAATACCTGTCTTACCTTAGGCACAAACTAATCAAACTTTAAATTACAAATTAGGTTGGTAGGTACCTATTTTTTTTTTTTTTTTTTTTATTAGCTTTTAGTAATAAACTATAATAACTCAACAATAGGTACCTACGTATATCGGGTTATATTATATAGTATTTACTAACGGTTTTTGAAATTCATGGTGATATTCAAATTTATTTTTAAAACTCATATTATGAATAGTGGTAGTATTATCATGAATATTATTTATATCATGTATTACTATATATCTATATATAATTTAGGTACCTCAAAACTACCTAGTATTTTTTAATCAATGGTATAACGAATTTATTCCGAAGGTGAGCCTGTATTGAAATTTAATTGTTTCAATGTTTCAATTTACATTAAATTTATAAACAATAGCCGCACGTAATATAACTATGCAGATTACCTAATACACGTTTAAATTGCATTGTATTAAAAATACATATAAATAGTGTTTGCAATTCTAAATAAATGAATATATAATAGGTACCAATATATAATCAATATTTAGTAGGTGGATATAGGTACGTACCTACCTATTTAGCAATACATCATTTATCCAGTGTGTTGTATGTGTAGTAATTATTATGTTGGATGTCAATTATTTTTGTTGGTAAAATTTAAAAGAAAATAAAGATTATAATTTAAAGCTATTAATACTTTTATTATTACCTACGAACTAATATAGGTAAATAAAAAATATGATAAGTCCAAAGTTAGTCGCAATTAAAATTGTTCAAGTCTATCCATAGATTATAATAGCTTATGGTTTTCTTCATGATGTTCTAAAAGTAATTTTGGACAATTAATTATTGTACCTGTACTTAAAGCACCAGCTATGTACCGGTACATATAGTATAGGTATTTTTAAACTGTATACCTACAAGAACTGGACTTGGACTTTTATTTTCGTAGGCTTTTTCCACGGTGTGCTTATTTTTTGGGGCTTTTCCCGTTGGCTTTTTTTCCGCCAACCATTAGGTATACTTGTAGCTTGTAGGTATATTTAAGAAGTAGCTGTGGCTCATTGAGATAAGCATGGCATAAATCATAATATTGAGTCAAATCCATTAGGTAATACATTGTACTGTAATTATCTGCATTCATATGATTTATTAAGACAATAATTATAATAATATGTTTCATTTTATGGTTTAACATTAAACTAGACGTAAAACTATTTAGATAAGGAAATATATAGGTAAATACTTCTAATACTATGGTACATGTAATTATTGCAATCTACAGGCTACTTACATCACTGGCTAGTGGCTACACCACAGATATAAGTGTATTACTACAGAAGAGCCATTTTATCAAATATATGTACTAACGTATTATAATTTATAATAATTAATTTATAGCGTAGATGTAGGTGAAAGTAATATATAGGTATATACTATATATACAGTTTAGATAATTGACACTTTTGACTTTTATACTCGTAACATAGGAATTAATAGGCTAGGCAAAAGATGTGAGACAACTGCTATGATGATCAGATATAGTGCAATTATTGTGCAATGCAGTAAATGGACAATTTCCACCCGAAAATATCCTCCTGTACATTTTTTTTGAATGCAGACATTTCCCCCATTAAAAATTTAAATTTAAATATAAAAAATTTTTTGTCAAATTTTTAATTTTGTTTTAATGTGTCCTAAAATAAAACGAGAAAAATGTCCAAAAATGTCCATGAGTATAATTATAGAGAACCATCAGCGACATCCACTTGCCCATTTTTTTTTATTATTTCAATAGCACCTATTTATAGCTACTTATTATTTATTGTTTCAAATAGACAATGTCACAATGATCAATTAAAATGTATAATCAATAATTATATTAATGGCAATACATTTTTTACACTTAAAAAAAAATAATAATAATTTCATAATATTCAAATAATTTTTTTTAAAGATGTGGAGTAGAAATGTTTGTATTAAAAAAAAATGTATTTGGGTGTACCTACTTGGGAAATGTCCTACTTCACTGAAAATAGTTGAGGGAAATCATCTAACATTTGTGCAATTTGCAAAGCATATCGGAGAAAATGATTAAAGTCATTCATAATTCCCTATATATAGTTTCAGAAGATATTCCTATTGGTGCAAGAAAAATGGAAAAAGAAAATTGATGAGTGTAAGGCGAGGCGAGGTTCCTACCAAGGTGTTGAAGTTATACTATATTTCTATAAAATACTTTATTGTAAACGTTTTATTGTTGTACCTATGTAAACGAAAATTGGTAGGTATCTTGTATCTACAATGTAGATACATCTAGTAGTTAGTATCATACAAGTAAACAAGTTACAAGAGAGTTAGTTCTTATAGTAGGTACCTACAGTTATTTTAAAATGTTGATCATCGATTTTCATAGTATACTCAGTAGTAAACAGGACGCATCTATTTTTTTTTTTTACCTGCCTACTAGTTACCACCTAGGTATAATGTCTATATGTTAGAGACACAAATATTATATAATACCATAATTATTGTAGGACTAGGACATTGTATTGTTGTTATCTCCACGATTTTATTTAGATTTTTCATATTTGGCTCGTTTTTTCAAACTTGTCTTATCACTGCGGGGGAGTCGAATTCCTATCTATATGCCTCCTGTTCAATATTTATTAGACAAATTACACAATCAGCTTTTCCTTTTACCTCTGATAATATTCATATAAATTAATATTTGAATTTGATGTTATCATTAAGTTATACATCAGCAAAGTAGAAATATCGTTATTCACTCATTCGCAGTTAGTTCATTATTATTTATTAACTTTAAGATTTTGAGAAACTACTGTACTATGACGGCAAACGCCAATGTCGCCAATAATAATTGCCAAACGACTACAATTTATGATGTAGTTATACCTGTTACGTTATATTATCACTTTCAGTTGAGAATGTTGAGATCAATGAGATGTGTCTGCTATGTGTAAAGCTAAAATATTTGTGACTTCTGACTTTTGATGAAGATTGCTGGCTGGTTATATGTGAGGTAAATCTTTAGTTAAATTATTTTATTATGTAATTCATGAGATTATGTTTTTAACTTTTTTTAATTACACAATCACGATAATTACTTGGTTGATCGCCATAAGTTTACTGCTCACTGATGTTGTGTTTCTTTGGTCTAGTCAATCTACTTTCATGCACCACTAACTGCAAGATGGTTGACAAATTGGATAAATACATTGACAGTTATTCTAAAGAATGGTACCAGGCGTTCTTGCTATTGATGATGGCCGGTACACCAGGGATATTTAATGCTATACAGATCTCGTCATACGTGTTTCTAGTTGACAAACCTTCGTACTGGTGTGATGTACCAGTTTTGAAAGCGGCAGGATGGAGTGACCAAATGCTATTAAATGTTTCTACACCGTAAGATATATTTGAACAAATGAAAATACCTACTATAATTATTAATATCAATAAAAATAATCTTGAATATGCAGTAAACTAAACTTACATTTTAAGTGATCACTCTCGGGTATAAGGGATAAGCCCTTTCAACTTGAAAGGTTTATCTACAAAAGTTATTAATATGTAATAATGGTAATATTAGTACATTTTATATTAACATTTGTTATTGCAGTAACTATAATGATAGTATGGTTAAAATTTTATAACATCCCTAAATTGGAAGTTTATATTTTTAGGTATCAAAATTATTCATCAAAAAAAATTGAAGAATGTTCTTATTACGATCGAAATTATTCAATATTTGCCAAAAATGGATACAATTGGTCAATGAATAATTTAGATACTGCCAATTCTATACCTTGTCAGTATTATAGTTACAGTTCTAGAGAATCTGTTGTAACTGAAGTATGTAAACATTTTTTTCTAAATGAATAAAAACTTATAATATACTATTTTTTGTTTTATTAAAACTGGTTTATAAAATGTTTTAGTGGAATTTAGTTTGTGATAATGTAGCAATGAAATCAAATATTCAAGCAGCTATAGCTTTTGGAAAGTTTGTTGGTGGACTTTTATTTGGTTCAATTTCAGATGTATATGGCAGAAAGTTTGCTTTCAATTTGGCAGCTTTTATTTACATGTTTTCAGGACCATCTGCTGCCCTGATTGATTCCTATGTATTATTTTTAATTGCAAGATTCTTGATAGGTGTAGCTGGATCTGGAATTTATGAATCATCATACACAATATGTAATAATAAAAAAAACCTTAGTTAAAAATACAAGGATAATATTTAAAAAAATAATACTTTATGTTAATTCTAGTGACTGAGCTGACAAGTGGTAAAACTCGTACTTTACTTTGTCTTTTGATGAATATGTCGTATCCAATTGGTTATATTTTGTTATCAATTATTGCTTATTATGTGAGGCCATGGAGAATGTTGCTTTTAGCTTTGTCTTTGCCCATGTTTGGATTGTTGATACAATGCTGGTAAGTTATATAGCTTACATTTTGTATACAGTGTGTTTCTTTTTAAAGGTAACACTAAATAATTCTGTACAGTGATATCAGATTGATATGCAGTTTTCAGGAGGAGATAAGGGATACATAAATACACATTTCTTGATGATTTTTACATTTTTAGATCTTTCCCTGTGCGCATGCGCAATATATCTTGCATTTTTTTAAACGGCAACAGGTGTTTTGAATACCAAATTCAGATAGATCGAATTTTTGAAGTTAATTTGTTCCCTTTTACCATAGCACTAAAATCAAAATTGACTAAAAGACAACAAGTTAAAGTTTCGATTAAAATTAATGATAGCCTACGGATGCAAAAAAAATACTTGAATTGCATAATATTTCATACAATTCTAGTATGATTGTTGAAAGATTCGATAATTTTAATCAAAACTTTAACCTGTTGTCATTTAGTCAATTTTGATTTTAGAGCTATGGTAAAAAGGACCAAATTGACTTTAAAAAATTCGGTCTATCTGAATTTGGTATTCAAAATACATGTTGCTGTTTAAAAAAATGCAAGTTGTAAAGAAAAAATCGGAAAGATATAAAAATGTAAAAATCATCAAGAAATGTGTATTTATGTACATATTCCCTATCCCCTCCCGAAAACCGCATATCAATCTGATGTCACTGGACAGAATTATTTAGTGTTATCTTTAAAAAGAAACACACTGTATACTAAGTTCAAAATAATAAGTGACACGGGTAGCAACCAGTTTTTGTCTCTTCTTTTTTTAACTGAATATAGAAGCACGTATTTATTTGATTTTATATATATAGGAATATTTATTGTTAAGGTTTCTACCAGAATCTCCAAAATGGTTGATGTCTCAAGGAAGAAAAAGCCAGGCTTGGAAAGTGATGACTAAGCTTGTTCCTTCTGCTGTTCATGCTGACATAGATAATGATAACCAGGATATGGTTGAAATTAGAAAGGTTTGTCCATTATAATTTTGCAATTAACGAATAATGATCGATGACATTTATTATTACATAATACCTTATATTACATATTATGTACAATATTTAGTTTATCTTTTAATACTATTTATGTATGATGTTTAATGATAACTTTTATTATAACAAGTATTTTGTTTTAATAAAGTAGTCAAAAAAAAGTCAAGGAAAGTGTAAGGAGTTTTTGTCCACTTTTACCACATTGTTTTCTACTTGGGATTTATCTGTTAAGACGGGTATTTCTTTTTCTTGTGGATTTGTTTGTGGCCTATCATATTACGTTATTGGTAAGTTGAAAATTTTAATTTATTTAAAAATACATAAAACTGTATCTATGTACTCAGTCTAACTTCAGTTGATCGTATAACATAAAATTATTGCACATTACATGGTTCTATACATGATAATTTAAAATTTGTTTTGTTGGCTCGTATACAAAAATATACTGACTTTATTTAAACAACTATATAGAATGATATATTGGTGTTTAATTTTGTTGGATACCTTGCAGAGTTATTAGTTATAACATTTCTTTTGGGTTTTTCACTAATCGTTCATTTGGTCGGTTTAGTATCTTATGATATATTAAAATATTTAAGTATGGTTAGCATCAATTGATACCACTTACCTCGCGTAGTCTTCGATTTAGGAATGCTGTTTGGTTCTATTTATTTCATAGTTGAGTATTTAGATGTCCTGTGCTTAGCATAGTATTTAACATAATTATTAAAAAAATATTTTACTGATACAAATGATTTTGTAAGTGACATATTATAATTTTCAAATGTTAAAAATCATTTTTTAACCCTCTTTTAGTTATTTATTTGTATTTATTTCTGCTGATTTTATTGTTATTAAATACCGTGTGTTGTATGTAACAGTCCCAATTTGAAATGGAAAATGTAGATTGTTCATGTTCATTATCATTTGAGTTTCAATTAGTTTTGGTCTTCTTATTATGATTGTAGGTATTACTAAGAACGATCAAGAACAACCAAACTCAAATGGATATTATTTAGTTTTACAAATTGAGATCAGCCTATGAAATAATAAGTAAGCCAATTTAGAAATAGGTTCCCTATTGCTAAATTCTCAAGTTCTTTAGATAGTAAGTTGTAGTCTTTAGAATCAGAGGCTTTGGAAAAATAAATAAATAATAATAATACATTTATATTTGGTTACCCTGAGACTACAAACATTTCATAGTAGGGATATGCAGAAACTTTATTTTATTGTGTCCCATACATTTAATGAAGAACATCATCTTGAATGTACTAAAATAATTATACTTTTTTTATTTTAATTTATTAGCATTAAATGGCGATAATATTACTGCTGATCGTTACATATATGTTGCGTTGAATGGAGTTGTTGAAGGCTTAGCATACTTATCGACTATTCCATTATTACTATATGTTGGACGTAAAATAGCAGTTTCCGGTTTATTTTTTACATCCGGAATATTGCAGCTTGCATTGTTAACAATACCACAAGGTACATATTAAATAACTATAGTTTATATTATAATATGAAAGATATAGTACACTTGTTTTTAAATTCTTATACTAATAAATAATTATTTTTTTATTTTTTTAGAAAGTGCAAATATTTTATTATTTGTTGCTTTGCTTGGAAAATTTTGTGTGAGTGCAGTATTTTCAGTTAGTTTGCTTTATATATCAGAGTTATATCCAACTACAATAAGAAATACCGGTCTTGGAACATCATTGACTATTTCTCAAATAGGATCTGTCATTGCACCATATGTAGTTGAATTATTGGTAATAACTAATAGCCATAACACATGGCTACTGTATTAAAATGATTAATGTTGAAATTTACTGTTAATTTTTTGTAATTTAGGGAGCTAGAGCTTGGTACATTCCAAGTACGGTGTGTGGAATATTGGGTATTTTTGTTTCAAGTTTGGTTCTAATGTTGCCTGAAACAAAGGGAACAGTATTACCAGATACTCTTGAAGATATGAAGATTACTAGATCTGTTAAAGTTACCAATTGTTGTAAGTTTTAGTGCTTTTCGCCATTCTGTTACTTAATAAATTATACTTCTGACAATATTGACTTATTGATTAAATTGTTTAATCAATTATTTAAACAGTATAATATTTTATACTGTTGTTTTATTGGAGTATCACAGTTAAAAGGATTGAATATTGATAAGTTATAATTATTAAGATAAATAAAAATTGAATAATTTCAATGTGTTAAATGTTTAAATACAATTTTAAGAGACATTTTGTAAATGATCTCAGTACCACAGATTATTTTTACCAAATTAAACTAGAGAAATTGTTCTAATTAAGGTGTGGTAGCTTATTTTTTATATTATTGTTATTGTTTTTATTGTACAATTTGAATCTTTTATTTATGTTATTATTGGTATTGTGAAAATGTTTGAATTTCTAATGTGTTATTAAATTCCTATACATATATTGAGTAAAATTTTATTAGGGTGATCAAGTCTTCTTGTATGCAATGATAAATTGTTAAATTTTTAGATATGATTATTCCAGTTGAAATTCATACACGCTGCTACATATTTATGTAACTTTATCTGGCTATATGTTATTATTTTTAATATTATAAAATAATTATAACCAACCATTTTGTGTTATGTGTCTTAGGTTAGGTTATTATTATATTTTTAATTATTTGTATGTTATGCACTAACCCCAGAAATAACTTATGCGAGTTGTAGGTAAATGTTTAAATATATACCTGCTTAAGTCTGTTAATTTATAATGATTGTTTGTTTTAATTATACATTATTAATTTAAACTTGAACATTTATTAAACAAGTTTATCTTATTACATTTTATTTGGTCCTTTTAGTGCCAACTGTAGCAAAGACATTACGTTTAATGATGATAAATCTATTAGAACAGACTAAAAAAAAAAATAACAATTAAATTTGTTTAATCTATTATAACAAAAGCAATTTCAGTAGAATGTTGATTTTTTTATTAACTAGTAGATAATTTAAGAATATGAAAAACAATGTGTGAAGATTTAATCGATTTATTCAAAATGTCCTATTTAAATAAATAAATTATGATTCAAGAATAAATCTGAATTATACATTTAAAAATTGAAATATAATATTAGGTTTAATTGATGACAATAATTTGTACTTAGTTCCAATTTACCAAATACTATAGTTTATTCATTTGAATAATCAACACTCTACTGCTGTATTATTTTAACCCAACCGTAACTGTATACATACTTCTACGTTTTGTAAAGTGTTTACTTGAAGCAGATTGTCTTTCCTAAAACTTAAAATCGCAACTGCCAAAAGTGGTAATACTTCCAAGGAGTCATAAGCTATAACCATGTCCCACAGGTTAAGTAATTGTTCTGGAAGCAAATGCCCACTGAATCCTTTCATGAGCCATTTAAATACCACTCTGATACTGACGGGCAATGAAACACAAATTATTAATTGGTTTTTAAATATTATGTAGAATCGTAGAATATATACACACCGAGTAATAATATTGACTGTATAGGACAGTAGGATAATGTGGTTTGTGTCAATATGTAGGTACATTAAGTAGGTAGGTACTTACGGGTGAATGTTGTGGCTCATAAAATGCGACCAAATCTTTGTCTCGTGTCTCTGTAAGAGCCGCTGAAACAAAATGCATAGTCCAAGTATGCTTTGCGGGTGTGAGCTTATGACATGCAATCGGAACCAGTAGCGTAGGTAGAAAGCCCTGAACGTGTAGTACAATGGTACAGGGTCGTTGAACAAATAGCAAACAGGGGCAGCTAAAAATGGACAACAAACGACGTTTTACTTTTTTTGAATGTCTAAATACAGTTTCAAGAAGTTGAACTTTCACTCGTACAGTGGTATACTTATATGCGGGAATGGCCTATTAATATTAATGACGCTTAAAACAATCGCAGATCAAAATTTACCAGACACAGGTTTATCGGTCTACGACTTTTTGGCCCTGTCATCGCCCGTCCGAAATTCTAGTTTTATCATAGGTAATTGGAGATCAATCAACTTTGGAAGTATTTTATCGTTATTTTTTACTATACTTTACAACATCGAAATATTTGTCTATGTAAAAAAAGGTTGGGTAAGTGGTGCCTATTCGGTATACATAATAGTAGAGAATAGAATATATTACAGTTTATTTGAAATAAAAACAAAAACTGTCTGGTACATTGGTTAAGTACATCTAGCCATTTAAATATCCATTATTGTTTGTGTAAACTCTGTATACTTTGTGCAAGCTTCATTGGAGACAACAAGTTTGCAAATTGTGTACAATAATAACTATCAGGTGAACAGCTATCGTTGTATTGTATTGTCTTGGATTATGACCATACTCCAATAATATTTTTTACACATGAATTTTTTTCACATAATTGCACATGTAATTCGTCTATGCCACTAGAATGCTAGATAAATAGACAATAGTATAATACTACATTTTTGATTAGAATAATACATAGGTACCTACTATAAGAATACACATTATTTTTTTTTTTTTATTGTTTGATTATTATCTAGACTCGAAAATAGATTCAGAAGCATCGTAAGAACTAAGAGTATTCTACAAACTTTTTATAGAAGTACCTACAAGTCTTATAGACAATACAAGTGTGCAATTTTATATTGTCATTTATATTTACATTTTGCTAAATTGGTATACCTATATTTTATTGAGCACGATTGTTTGTGAAAAAAAAAATAATGACCACACATAATTCAAAGATTCTTTAATAAGTTTAAATTGATCCCCAATTTAAGTCTCTATTTAAAAAAAGTTACAACGGCTTTAATGAACAATGAACTGCGATAGTCAAATGGAAAATCGAAATGATCGATGACACTACAACAAAAATCGAAAAAAAATCCTTCGGGGAAACAGTTAATTTTATCAATAACAACAGTTATAACGAACAAAAAAAAAATGTTATTTTACCTTACCATACATTGTGAAACCGTGAAAAGGTATAATGCCGTTGGGTGGATATATTGCCTCCATAGGTGGTTTGCCTTTCAACGACGTAAGTATTGGATGGCTGGTCGAGTTGTTGAACACTGACAAAACGTCAGTGTCACGAGTAAAACACAACATTATCTAAACACCAAAAATGGGACAAGAATATTAGTTATCAGCTATGTACTTAATAGCGAAATGCCAATTATATTATAAGGTCGTTAGGTATGTACTTATACTAGAAGTCCATTGAGCCCCTAGTAAGTATAATAACTAATAAATATTTTATTATATACTAAGGGTGTATTTGGAGTTTTTTCTCTGTGTGTGTGTGTGTGTGTGGAAGGGGGGTACCACTCCCTTCACACCAATGTAGATTTAATTTATATTCAATGCTATATTGCTGTTACATGTATATATATCATACAAGTATGTGGCATCTAAACATGATTACTGATTAGGTATTAATATTAATTTATAATATTATTTATACATATTTAGCCATAAACATCAACATTTATGAAACACAAAATCTAACATTCAATTTTTAGACTTAACTCATACACCAATGAAGTCATCTGGCATAATTTTTATATTTCAGTGATATTCCAAAAAGCAAATCCATTTGGTCTATTCTTATTTCTTAGGTACTCATGGGTACATGCACGTGATGGATCATTCGGCTACTTAGGCTATAGATTATAGAAGTATAGACTATAGAGTATAGACACAGCTAGGCAATGTATATAGGTAGGTATAAGGTAACTATGGTTCATAGTGTTCATACCCATATACCTGATATAGGTACATTATTACTATCATACTATTAGTACTAGACTTTAGTATTATACACCCAGTAAATCTCAAGTTATTTTTTTAGAATTTGAGGATGAATTATTTTTTATTATCGTTATTTGTCAACTGTTGTCATTTGTCGTGAACAGCTGAACACCAACTATTATAACAAATAGGTATACAAAATATATTTTAAAATACCTTCTCCTGTGAGCGTCTATGGTGATCTTGACTTTTAGCCCATTCCCTATTTGTGAACAAATATTCTCTTTGGAGCTTGGATGCAAAGAAATATTTTTAAACAAATTATCAATGGTGTCCATCCCTCATATCCCCCGATCATCATTAACGCAACTTTTTTTATGATTATTTTTATTATTATAGTTTTGAAGCATCGGCAACATTATGGCCATTAGATTTTTGTGTTGGGTTACGGTTTGTTTACGCAACTTTTGTGCAGTCCATATGTATACTTATATTATGTACGACATACCTACATTGTATATTACGTAAAATATAAAAAGCACCTGGTGTAAGACGTCTTCGAACACGAAGTATTGGTCGTCGTTGCACGCTGTTAGCTGAACGTCTTTCGTGATCAATTTGTCGATCAGCATATCGTAGTGCAACACTCGTTGTTTTAATTCCGAGTAATGTTGTTCCTGAAAACAAATGCTCAACGTCCGTCACGTGGGTGGAAAATATATGATAATACCTATAAGGGTACGAGGCGAGTGTCATTCATACCGAAGTCTTCGCACTGGATCCTAGGATCTGTGCCCAGAGCCTACCCCGGAGACAGCGCGGTGCACCCAATTTCAGAAACTCTTGACACACTGGCGCATGCTGATGTTGAAGAACTGTAGAAATAGATATTATTACTCGTTCATTTTTGATTTTTCACACTGCAGGGTAACTACACAGACGAATTTCTAATTATTTAACCTTTTTCTCCCAAATCGATTCGTTCAAGTTCTCCCTGTGACGTCGACCCGCTCGACAACGTCGTCAGACATTGACAACACGTTAAACCTAACAGCAAATCGGCAGTGGCCAAAACCCTGTAATGATGTCTCTAAAACCGACGCAACATTATACAGCTATTTTAAGTTTTAACTGCGTAGCTACATCGTACAGATGTAAGTATACTGTTGTCTGTGGCGTATCCGATGTAGGACACCAATATACCGACCACAGTTAATATTGTCCAACAAAATAATTATCTTTATTATATTTTTTGACTATTTTCGTAAAGTGTGTAAAACGAGTCGTACAATGGGTTTTAATTATTGGTTTTTCATTGTCAATTTTTCACAAAAATGTTGATAGTTAGTAAGTAGGTGTAATCATACAATGTAGTTGATTGTTTGATGGAAAAAAGAACTTCTATAATATTAATTTGAATAATGCATCAAGCGCAAAGTTCGCGCGTTCATCTTAAATACAAGAATACAAAAAATCAACTTCTTAGATACGCCGCTAAGTAGTAAGTAATACTTACTGACTGTCGAACATTTAAGCAAATAATTAGTACCTACATAAGTATCTATATAGTGAATAGTATACATTACCTATCTATTAAATAACTTACAAGTTCTGGTAGTGTCTTAACTTTCAGCGGCAGGTACGTAAAATCCCATATCATATCATCACTAAATCCAATTCAAATATTATTTTAACACTTCTTATAGTATTCAATATTTTACAACAATATTAGGGCCGTAGATGTCATTAGAATATAAGGAATAAGTTTTCAATATTAATAATGTAGATAAATATTTCAATTGGTATTATACATATTACAATATTTATTATTATTATGTAGGTAGTAGGTAAATATGTGCATATCTAATATAAGAAACTCATAAGCAGGGCAGAGAACTTGTAGCATTTTCATGTTTGTTTTGCACAGTCACAAAGATAGCTGAGTACGAAACAATTAATATTTTTTATGCTTCAACAAAGCTAGTTTTGACATTTTTACTT